AAGAAAACATTGAGAAGTTTTATGGCCCAAAAAATTATGATATTTGCAAAAACCTCTCTTATTTCTTTGATCAAGAGGAGGCACTTTTACCCCTGGGGGTACTATCATTTGGCCATCTTTAACTAGCAAGTCGAATATTTCATCACATTTTGTGATGTCAAAACTATAAGTCTTTTTTGGGAACCTATCGTTGGTCCTTTCTGAACCAATGGGATTTTTCCCATTTGAGGGGACTAACAGTTTACAAGAGTATGGTGGCCCTTGTTTCAGTTCTGCTAAGTCAACTTCTCCTTCTTCGACAGTTAAAGTATCGTCGAAGGATTCTAGATCTTCGTCATCCATCTCAACGTACGCTATCCTTTCTCTCTTGTGAGTTTTCGTTGCCTTAGCTTTTTCAGCTTTGAGGCGTTCTACCTGTCGAACTCTATCGGCCAGTTGGGCCATGTCTCTTAGGTACTGGGTGTCTAGCTTCTTCCTAATGGAATAATCTAAACCGCCTGCGGCTATTTCGACCAACTCATGTTCTGGCACTTGTGTGAAACATCTCGCCTTGAGCAACCTAAACCTATTTAGATATTCGTCTATAGGTTCAGTGAAACGTCTCTTCACACTGGCCAGTTCTTTCAGGCTTATCTTGGTTTGCCCCATGTAGAATTGTTCATGGAACAATCTTTCCAACTGGGTCCAATGATGGATCGAATTGGGGGGGAGAGTTGTAAACCAAGTAAAAGCGTTCTTTGTTAAAGAACTTGGGAAGTACTTGATCCTTAGGTTTTTGTTATTCGAAATGTCACCCGCTTCGATCAAATATCTCGCCACATGCTCGACAGTAGATTCTGTCGTGTCCCCAGAGAACTTGGTAAATTTGGGGACTTTGCATCTAGGAGGTAAGTCCGTTTGTAACACGTATTCTGACAATGGAGATGTAAAGTTGGGCCTTCGAAAGCCCATGTTCATCCCATTCTGAGTCATGATCCTTTCAATCATGGTTGCCAGATTGTTTTCCAAACCCATGTTTTGGTATTGGATATGCTGAACCACTTCGTCAGCATTTTGGTTTCTGTTAACTAACCTTACCTCTGGGGCTATTACCCTAGGTTCCTCGACAGGTTGTTCTAATCGTGCCCTAAGGTTTTCTTCGACAGGCTGTTGAGCCTGGTTAATGGTGGTTTCTTCCTCTAAAAATATCCCCTGGTTTCCCCTTATCTGCGCCCTTTGAGGCTGTCGAATAGGTTGGGGTACTCCAAAGAAGTCAGCCAAACGCGTCATTTGCGCTGTCACTTGCTGATTCGATTGAGTAGTGTTTTGTATTAGAGGGTTTAGCACTGTACTCAAAGTTTGTGCCAACATTTGCACCATATCATGGTTGCTTTCGTCCATTTGTTGCCTCAAGACTGCTGTCGAGGCATTTGTAAGGCCATGGGCTACTTGGGACGTTCCTCCTAAGAGTTGGGTCCTATTTCTATTCGCCATGCCTACTCCAGAGCCTTGGAGTGGCGAAGAGGCACTCACAAAAGGGTCTGAAAAAGTGGACGCAGCATTCGTCAGGCTTGCCACTTCAGAAGTTGGCATACCATAGAATGGAATAAATCCTGGGGGAACCAAAGGCCTTGTGCCTAAATTTCCCCTTGGTGGGGGAGTTCCCAAAGGTATCCTGGGGCCTGTTAACGAAGGTATTGGCCCCGTGGTTGTGACCGACACTGCTGGTGTCGAATCAACATTTGTCGCTTCACTTACGGTCATATTAACCGTTGCTCCCACACTCGTTTGTGGGATTTCGTTATTGTTTGGCGGATTCGCCATCTCTTCCCTTCTTCTGGCAGTATTGTTATCGTTAGTGTATATTCTACCACTTCTCAATAACATACAACTCGAAAAGATGAGATTATTTTCAACAATCAACACACAGTCCCACCGGGTGTGCCAATTTGTTTACCTTGGGTTTTGGTAAACAACCGCTGATCCTCCAAATGGTTACTTATTTGGTTACTCGCAGGATCGATCAGATTGATCCTAGGACATAGGTTGGTTTTGAAGTTTGATTGAATTGGATAAGGCTTTAAATAAAGAGGTTTTAAATAAATTGCATGAAGGAAAGACTTGGTAAAATAAACAAGGCTTTAAAGTAAAAGGTTCGACAAGAATGTAAAGGAGAAAGCAAGTAAATTTCTGGAAAAAGTAAATGACTTTGATTAATAAAATTGGTGTTTCACACATACATTTCTCAACAATTCTTTCTCACACGCTGGGTACTCGAATCTATATGAGTGACTTTGTATAGAACTGTGAACACCCGCGAGAAACTACATGACTACTATTATTTATACTAAAACATCCCAAGTAACCGTCGGGCAGTTACACTGCTTCGAGATCAATCCACTTGGCACGTTCTCCACGTTCGACGCTCCAGATCCTTGCATGCACGTAGTAACTGCTGGAAACCGTTTTCCCTCCAAAAGCTTGAATTTCAAACTGCTCCACTCTGAACCATCGAACACTTTCGTCAAGAGACATCTTCGACGAGAAACTCCTTCGACGTCGAAGGCAACCAGCCTTCTTCCTTGGAAGAAATCTTCTAAGTACTTTGCCATCTTTCGACGGGCATTTCGACAGACTTAGCCAGTCGAAGACATCCTTCAGCTTTAATGGCTGACATCAACAAAACAAAGGTGTCGAATTTAGGAGCCAACACTAAGGCACTATATATAGGGCTGACGTGGAATACGAAGCATCGCATCGGGAAGCTCATCGACCGTCTTTCTCCTTGCCGCCTGCGCGCCCAGGTAATAATGACCCCTACTCTCTAGGCCATCATTACTATCCCAAATGTCACACCACGTGTCCACACCCTGCAAGGTTTCCTCTCCCCGCGAGTCAAAGAACAATTGAAACGTTCCTCATCAAACCAATTTCAACCTCTGCTCGAGTAACCGCACATCCTAACGACCCTCTCCCTCGATGCAGTAAAAGATCCCCGAAAAAATTATGATCGCCGTAAGGAGAAGTTGGACTTAAGTCATAACTCCTTCACCAGGAGCAACGACTTGGGAGACTCCTGTTCTAGACTGGGCCTGCATTTGGCCCAACTTCACACGAGGCCTAATCCAATTAGGCTGCTTGAGGAGGTCTATTGTCTGAGCCTGCCTCGACTATGTCGGGAAGAAACCTCACCCTTCAGGAAAATCGACTTTGCCATACGGGGTAAATCTAGGAATCATGATGAGGCTCGTCGCCGATCAGAAGGACCTCACGAGCATCCTCCACTCTTCTCGTCGACCAAGACAAGTCCTCTCGGACAACCTCACAGCTGGCGGGGAAGGCCCACAACGGACAAAAGGACATCACGAACATCCTCCCCGTAGGGTTGACTCTCAACATCCCCGAATATCACAGAGTCCTCTTGGTTCCAAAAAAGACTGCGTCCATATCCTCCTGACAATTCGAGGGAGTTCATCCAGGTTGGGGACCACGTGCTGGCCCCCCACTACGCACACAGGACCTGGAAGTTTCCATTTTAGGCCTGCTTGCCCAACTCAACGATGAGGACCTTGGCCCAACACTAGGGGCTATAAATATCCTCTTACTTGAGAGGGTCAAGTATTCATTCTTTCACACTCATTCTCATACTTGTTCGCTCTGCTCTAAACCTTACTTTGACATCAGAGTGTCTTGCAGGTACCCCCATCTCATCTTCAGTCGCTGCTCAACTCACAGCTCGTAGGCTTTGACGATCCATTCTGGTCAGATACGATCAGTTTCTTTGGTGGATTAAGTGGCCTCTAGAGAAGCCCTAACCCAACTCATATTGTTGAAGAGGAATGAGACATTGTTTTGTATTTTATCTATAACTATATATATACAAAAAGATTTTACCTTTTGTTTTGGACCGCCAGTGGTCTAATAAAGAGGATATTCAATCATCAGTTCAAATTCATAAAGTGTAGAAAGTATAGTGCACCCACGACCTTGAGACTCGTAGTCGATCTACGTCACGGTCGGTAATTCACCGTTGAATATTACCTAATGTTTCCCCACTTTCCACGTTAAGAAGCATTGGGGAATTTTAACCACCCCCTCATATATTATAGATCTCGCGTAAAACTTGAAGACCGATCACGACTGCTAAAACACTTCTCCAGTATCTAGAATATCAGGAAGTCTTGGGGATAACTGTTTCGTGCCAGTCAAGACCAATAAGATAAGATCCTCTTATCATGTTCGTTCCATTGAGCCCGAGATATAAATACCTTTATAAATTTTTTTCTTAATCTTCACTTTCAGTATAACGATCTTGAATTCTAAATTGACTTGGACGTTGAAGTGTTAATTGACTTAAACGTTCAAATGTTAATTCTGCACGTACCCCTTTTTTAATCCACCATTATATAGATCAGCAATGTCACTTTAAGATCAACTTTTCCAATTTCAGAGACACCATAATCACAATCTTGTGTCCAATGTATCGCATCGTTGAATCATTTATGAAGTTTTGATCCACCGTATCTTCCACCATTTCTCCATTTCGGAACACAACAAATATAACAAATTAAAATATTTGTTTGTATTACCCACAATTTTTTTTATCACACGATTTAAAATTAAATAGAAGATATCATTTATAATTTCCTGAACACTCGCAGGAAAAAAAAAAAGGAAATGACGGTATCGTATTGCATAAAAAAAGTTATCCTTGTATCTATAAAAATACACCGTATAGAGTAAGTTATCCTCATTAAACACAACCACTCATTTCTGGATCGGTTTCCACTGCAGTTACTACTTGATGCAGTCACTGCTGTCATTCATACATAGACCATTATTAGATGGGTAAAAACCCATTTTTATTCAAGAATAATACAAATTACAAGGGTTCCAGATGAGGAACCCGGTGACTTTGCGACCAAAACAAGTCACACCGACACTACTAGCGACGCAAATAAAACAACGACCTCATTATTAAGTAGAAACATAGAAAACCATCTAGATTTATCAATCTAAACCTACACGCGCACGGTCGAACCCAAGATAGAGAAACCAGATCCAGATCTGACGGCATCAACCGTCTTCAGTTTCGCCTCGGCCTGGTCCACCTTATACGGGCAGTTGTCCTTAACAGAATAAAGCTCATACGGCGACGTGTCGGTAGCCAGCCACTGTTCCACGGTGAAGAGAGTCTGAGCACATGGAGAGTGGACCCCAGTTGTAGTAACCTCAACATAATTAACATACCAACCGTGATGACTACCCGCCCCGTCTGAAGTCAAGTTCATCTTGCAAACGGGTGCGTCCAAACAAGGTCCTCTGCCGCTGAATATGTCAAGGTTGCTCCGCTCGAAGTAGTTGTAACCCGGACCCATTAACCCGCCCCATGCTTCAAGGTTGTTGATTCTTATGCCGTAGTTTTTTGCATCGTATAAGGTGAGGATTATGTTTGAGTCTGTTCCTGCCTTGAGGATTGACCCGGTTCTGACGTACACCGTGTAGACACAGTCCTCCTCCTAACAAGTAACAAGACAAAGATAAGTACAGAGAAAAAAATATAGATGAATGATTAGTAGTGTTAATGAAGAGTAAGTCTTACAGATGTGACGATTCCGGCGAAGAAAAATGAGAATAGAAAGAGGAGAGCGAAGATATGAGTTGGGTTTGCCATGAGATAACTGTGTAGTGATGGAGATTTGGTAATGGATGAGGTTCTTAAATAGAGGAGTGATATCTGGTGGATGGAGAAGATGAGATTTAGTATCTAGCTAATATAAAGATGTGAAAATTTAGTCTCTGGTAGTATAATTTTAGCGGCTCCATAACAGGGACCATTATACGATATTTGTTTGTGAAATGACCATATAAATTAGAAGCACGTTCTCCACGCGACAAGAATATGCTTAAAATCATATTTATACTTGTTTTGGGCCGACATAATGGTAACCGACCTATCACTTTGAAGAAGTTGCAATTCATCTAATATTTTCTAAGAACAAGAAAGTTATCTTACAGAAGAACATGAACCATTCATACATTTAACACTTCTACACATCACATGTCTAACAAATAACAAATTGTTATAATTGCTTCACTATATAAAGAATAGGCGCGTAGAATTTAAGTACACAATTTTAAATTTAATTTTCATTCATTCTTTTCTTTTACATATTGACTTAAGTGTTTGAGTACTAATTTTATAGATCAATCTCCTCTTTTTCACATTGGATGCTTAGATTCACCGCAATCCTCTATAATCATTGATTCTCAACAGAACAATGGTCTCGTATGTGGAAATTGACTTCTAATTTTCGTGTTTTCCACAATTGCATGTTAGCTCCTCGATTCATCGTTTCAAAATTCTTATCAGTTTATCAGATCAACTGTCCTTGAAATCAAACACGAAGATCCATCGTGTTCGACCCCGATCAAGTAGCGTATCATCTTTGGTTCCCTGAATTTCCAGATTCCTGACTTCTATACTTTTCAACAATGGCTTGATTTCCAAATTTCTGACTTCCATACTTTTGCTGAAGTACGCGAAGTCGCTGCTGCTCAAGCGATGATCAATCAACCTTGTTCTCAAGGCGTGCATATCAAGTAATGGACATTTTGTTGCATCTATATATGATCTAAGCTCTTCAAATTGCTTGATTTGCTCTAGTGCCTTCGATCAGGCCCCTGATGTCATCGTTAGCTTCACAACTAGAAGTCTTGTCTGGTTTCCATCTATTGGGAGGCAACATCGGGATGCATCCGTCAAAGAATTCGCCGAAGCATCCTTTATGCACCCGCATTTTGGATAACACAATACTGAAATCAATAGCAAAGCCTCCTAAGCTGGGCGAATACAACAAGAAGGGATATCTGGACGAGCACACCCAACTCATCAACAAATGCTTGAATTACTTCCACGGTGACAAGGCCTCCAACTGTAAATTATTTGCGCTAACTTTTATTTGATCGTCCCGGTTATAGTTCAACGCTCTATCAGACGGGACCATTGAGTCTTAGACAGACTTCGACGAGAGATTAATCGCCCACTTTACAGACCAAAAAATAGTCAGGCACAAATGTTGCCTTGAGTAGGATCAGTCAAGGAAAAAATGAGAGCTTGTGGTCTTACATCGACCAATTCACAAAAGTGGTCGTGGAAGTTGAGGGAGTCGTAGAAGGTCTCAAGTGCTAGATATTCGAGAACAACATATTGTAGGATAGCCCATTCAGTCATAAGTTGGGGAGAAAAGAAGCATATGTCATTCATAAACTATTGAATAGGGCTCAATCTTTCATCGACCTCGAGGAGAAGTTGAACACCTGATTCAACAATTTGGTCGATGTCGATGCAAAGTCCCATAAACGAAAGGATAAATCTAAATGGGGAATGCGTGGTCTGTACAATAAGTACAAACCGTCGAATGCATCACGAGAAAAGATTTGTCAAGAGTATGTGAACATATACTTCCAAAAGGGGGAGTTAGAGCCATATTTCCCATTAGAGAGTAATCCCAGACAAACAAGACAAAGTATTGTTTTCATAAGGGCCATAACCATAACATGAATACTTGCATACAACTGAAAGATGTTATTGATGGACTGATAAAAAGAGGTTAATTGTCTGAATACGTGAATGGAGAAAAAGATAAAGAGAAGATTCACCTAAGAGTAAGTCCCCCTCAAAAGTTAGGGATGATGGGACAAACGACTAAGATAAGGAAGCTAGCAAGGGGAAACATGAATACATTGCCACTATCACTATAGGGGATCCCTGAGCAAGTATCTCATCTAAGGGAACAACGGAAAAAAAATTGTTAGGATACTAGCCGTCCATAAGGATGGAGGTACGTCTTTCAAGACCCCTGGCTGGATAATGCTAAGGTTAAAGGACTTTGAGAAAATCAGGGGAACCCAAAACAAAATCTTTCCTTTAGTATTAACATCTACGATTGGACATTTCGATGTCTCTCAAGTTCTGATCGACGAAAGTAGCTCATGCGATATCATGTACTCTGAGTTATTTTGAGAATATGGGGATTGAAAGATGAAGCTTATGGTCGTATGAAGGTTCAGACTTGCACGAGTTCAATGTTATGACAACCCGTTTGTATGGGTACATCGAATTAATGATATATGTAGGAGAAAGGAAAGACGTACAGTCTGTCAGTTCACAGTTCCTCGTGGTCCCTATGAGAAGCATATACAATTGCATTCTTGGAAGACCCTTTGAAGCTAATTTGGACGATGTATCCTCACTGGTCCATCTCAAGCTCAAATATCATAATTTTCAAGGAGAACCAATCATCTCAAAAGAGAAAAGATAATATATCAAGCACTCCAACGAGACCAAGGACAAGGTAAAACAATGGAAATCAACGTGGTGTCTCTATCTGGCCATCTCAAAAGAATGAACTTCTAGCCTCCCAAAAGTGGTTGATCTAACGAGAAACAATATAAGGAGAATAAGTGGTGGCCAGTCCACATGGTTATGTTTTATAAATTCATGTTTGACAATATTTCTGCATAATAATCTTTCTCGGATGTAAGATTAATTCTCAATTATTAATGAAACATTGCATGTTCTGAAATACTATTTCTTTGCTATTGTGTAAAGTAATGGTGAGTCTGGGGTTCGACCGAAGGGATCGAGGCCTAGTACAAAGACTCAAGGATGTTGTCACAAATTCTATGAGCATACAACCATAAAAATTAATTCCCCGGTGTAAAGAACACACACAAAGAAAGTGGAAAAACCACTAATATGGCAATAAAAACCCACCCTCCTCGGGAATTTAGCCACTCCATAGGTCGGGGTGGATTGGCCACACGTTAACCTCGGTCAAGGTTTTCACTTGGACGAGGAAGGGGAATAGACCTTTGGTCGTGAACGGCCAGAGAGACGTCCAATAAACTTTGAGAGAGATAAGGAGAGAGAGAGAGAGAGAGAGAGAGAGAGAGAGAGAGAGAGAGAGAGAGAGAGAGAGAGAGAGAGAGAGAGAGAGAGAGAGAGAGAGAGAGAGAGAGAGAGAGAGAGAGAGAGAGAGAGAGAGAGAGAGAGAGAGAGAGATTAAAAATGGTATTTTGATATTTTTTGATAATTTGTACTTAGGACAATAAGTTGTCCAATGGTTTAGTGAGGAACAATAATTCATGTTTTTGTCCAATCCCTTGCAATTTGTTTTGTCAAGTCCCATAATTAGTTTTAATATCAAACAAAGTAGAAAAAATGTGTCATGTCCAACCCTTATTTTTAGCAAATCAAACATACCCTATATTTAATTTACTTTTAGTTAGAATTACTTTTACATAATTAATCTATTTAAAATCAATTTTTGTCACACTTTACTAAAACACTATGTAAGATAGGATAAAGAAGTAATGAGAGGACTAACACACAAAAAACAAAAGAAAATAGTTTAATACTATTTTTAGACTCGTATGTTAACTTTGTCATTTATTTTGTGTCATTAACTTAAAAAATATTCATATCGGTCTCTTAAAAAGACTCTTCAAAACTTATCATGTTAGTCCTTTTTGTCTAATTAGCGGCGGATTTAACAGCTGATTTCTAAGCTTTTTCATCACAGTTAGACAAAATGGACTAACATCGTATGTTTTGAAAAGTTAATGGACCAAAATGGACATTTATTAAGTTAGTGGACCAACATTAACCGTGTGGTTAGCATATGGGACCAAAAAGGATATTAAGCCAGAGAAAATGAGAGAAAATTACAAGACACGATCAATAGAGGAAAACCTACATATCATAACGACATTCTAAAGCTTCAAATAATAGAAGTAACACTTTCAATAGAGAAACAATACGATTCAAATATTCTTCCAAATTTCCAAAACAGAGAAATTAAGCAATAGCGGTGCAATAAAGTATAGGTGTGACATGATTTTCTGTTTTCATAATTTTTCTACAAACTGTAAAATCATGTTTAGTCATCAAGGTTCCGAGTTTTGAAGAGACTGAGGTATATTTTTGCATAAAGAGCAGGAAAAAGAAAGGCTACCATTAAGGATTATTTCCTAATTCTTGTAAGTTTAACTTCTTGTTTTTTAATTGCAATAGCCATGAATCCCTTGTTAGATGACGACGCCTAATCTAGAGGGGGGGGGGGGGGGGTGGTGAATACATCACATAGTTTTAAAAAACTTTGAATAGAAAAGAGTGCACGCGGAAGATTCACAAAACGTGTCGTCTATCAAACCTTAGTTATTGGAACTCGGATATGCAAATATAAAATTGAAAATGGAATTAAAAGGATAATTTGAATTAAATCAAGTATCACTTTATGAATCGTTTAGATTTAGTTACTAGCAAAGCTATTTCCAATGCAATTATCAAAAGAACAAATGAAAGCAATTTGTCGAACACTTAGTGTGCAATTGAATTTTACGAATTTTCCTTTGATTTGTGTTGATACCAAAAATAAGTTAAAATCAAAAGTGATCATAAGCAATATCAACACTTAGTTGAAAACAAAAACAATACGAAAAAATTCTTACGATTTAATTGATAACGCAATGCTATTAGAAAAATTGGTTTACGAAAACAAAGCAAGTAAAATAATACAAAAATGAGACACGAGGATTTGTCTTCACAGTTCCCAACTTTCATCGTTGCGTGTGGGTACATTTGTGCCTAATTCCAATGGAATTAGGATA